GCGCGTTTCTGCACGTCCCGGGGGCGGCCTCCGAGACGCCAGGGGCTTCCGAGGGTGAGGCGCAATAGGTCCTGCCACCGGGAGGCAGTCGCTGCGCCCAAGGGGGCTCCACAGGCCTCCCCTTCGCTGCAATCAACTCCCCCAAGTCCCGCCCGCCCGCACAAAAGCAACCGAAGTAAACACAGGCTGCTTGTTAGAAGATGCACCTTCAAAACATCCTCCCATTCATCCTCACCCCCGCCACAAATTGCTGCCTCTGAGCCGCTCTTATATAATGATGATGATGATGATGATGATGATGGAACGGGCACTGGTTTCAGGCTGTAGAAGACAGGGAACTAAAGTGAATTTTCTTTTTGAAGGAATTCGTTATTTTTTTCCCTCTCCCATTCGACAGTCCGATCGCACGGGTGCCAAGGTCCCGGGCAGATGACTGACTAGGTCAAAGCCAGAAGGAAGGCTGCACCCCAGGAGCTACGGGAGGTTGTGGAATGGGACCCAGTCATTGATTCCGTATGTCTGCCACTGGGATATTATATGAAAACTGGACCTGGCCTTGCAAGTAAAAAGAAACAAGAACTGAACAAGAATTTCTGGGTTGAAATCTGAGACGTTTGGTGGAGGTAAGCATCCAACTAGCACTTCTCGCCCCCCCCCAGAAACCGACACACCTGCAAGAAACGTAAAATCTGGCCCGGCCGCCCCAGTCCCCGGGCCCCGCCCCTCCGCTCTAGAGCCCCGCCCGTCAGCGTTGCGCAGACTCAGTGGCTCCCCCTCTAAGTCTCTTCCTCCTCCCCCCTCGTGCTGCTGTCAAAATCCGGACTCGAGACTTCCTTAAGGCCCAGGACGCCGCTCCACGCATGCTCGGTATTCACCGCGGTCGGTCTCCCACACACGTGCTTAGGGCCTGTCGCGGCGCCTGCGCAGTCGCAGCCCGGTGTCTGCCCTCCGAGCGCCTCTCGCACCCCGGCTGCCGCTGTCCGCGCGAGCCCGTTTGCGCCGGGTATCCAGTGCACACGCCCTGCAAGCGACGGCGCCATGAGTCTGACTTCCAATTCCAGCGTTCGAGGTGAAGTGGGGCCCCGGAGTGGGTGAGGCTGGCGGCCTTGCGCACAGGTTACAGTGCCTGCAGCTCCCCTGGGTTGTTGCCGCCGCCCTGCGCACCCGCCGGTCCTATAACCTTGAGAGACAAGGGCGAGCGCGGACAGCCCGGCTGCCGACTCTGGGCGGCACAGGGAGAGGGGTCGAAGGCGGGGTAGAGATTGACGGTGTCACTGGGCATAAGTGCGTGGAGTCATGCAGGCGTCTACCCATCTCTGGTCCTCGTTTCCCCTTACTAGCCAAAACCCTAAAACCTGATGACCACGCTGCTAGCTTTTCTTGTTCCCTCCTATGATGCTTCTCTATCCTTAAGTCACAGGGCCTGAAAAAAGGCAAGGTGAGGAAAACAAATGCGTTTTTCCTTCTCACATCTAAGTCAGCGTGGAGCCAGAACCTCTATTTCCTGCAGTCCCTGAAGCGGTGCATGACTAATCACATCTTAGTTTTGCAGATTTTTTTTTTTTGAAGGGAAGAAACCGAATCTGAGGTCTTCAATTTTCCCAGCTTTTTACTGAGACCGTTTAACCTTCAGGTTTCAGCCTTCCTTCCCTTGTGCTCATACCTAACATTGGGAAACTATACTTACCAGAAGGTCCAATTAAATTTAAAACAATTTATAGGAGTCGTTTAGTGTGACGTTTCACTTTATAACCCTCTTTGGTGGTGTTATAATTGTTCATATAATACTGTATACCAGCCACATGATATGTGTGATCTCTGCCTGGTATAAAACGCCACTCCTCAAGGTTTGGTTACCTGTAACTGTAGTTGAGTAAAGGTAAAGAGATTGTCCAGAAGTTAATTAAAAGTAGCCCCGTTGATACACTCAGTAAATATTGAACATCCGTAGTGCCCGTTGATACACTCAGTAAATACAGAACATCTGTTGTTAGTTCCTACTAACTAAAGCCCTAATTTTGTAATGTAAAGGTAGATTCCATAAATTGGAGAGTTCCACTTCTGTTGACCAACTTTACCTGGTGGAGTGAGGGTGATAGTCTGTGAAACTTCTAAATTACTAATGATAAGGTGATTATTTGCAAAAAATTATTTCAAAGGATACTCATCCTGAGAATCCTTTATTTTTTATTTTCTTTTATTTATTTGAGTTGGAGTCTCTCTGTCACCTAGGCTGCAGTGCAGTGGCATGCTCACCAACGCAACCTTAACCTGCAGGACTCAGGTGATCCTTTTGCCTCAGCCTTCCAAGTTGCTGAACTACAGACATGCACCACCACGCCTGGCTAATTTTTTTTTTTTTTTTTTAATTTGTTGAGAGATGAGGTCTTGCCAAGTTGCTGGTCTTAAACCCATGGGCTCACGCTGTCCTCTCACCTCAGCCTCCTAGAGTGCTGGGATTATAGGCGTGAGCCACCGCACCGGCCCTTTTTTTTTTTTTTTTTTTGGTAATTGTAGAGATGAGGTCTCACCAAGTTGCCCAGACTGGTCTCAAAATCCCTGGACTCAGGCATTCCTCTCACCTCATCCTCCCAAAGTGCCGGGATTACAAGGTTGAGCCACCGCATCCGGCCATGAGAATCTTTTAAATAGAGGCACCTTGGTGCACTTAAAATAGGGAGTGATTTTTGTGTTTTTGTTTTTTAAAAATATATATTTTTCTTGGGAATAAGACTATTGTGTGAAATGAGATGTTCATGACTCATGCCGCTGATAATTTTAATTTTACAGGAAGAATGTTTGCACATGCTTGATGTGAGCCAAAAGATTCCCAAATGTGGGTTTGTTTAAAATGTGGGATCATTTTGTGTGTATGAGCACTAAACTCAATAGGTAGCATACGATTGAAATGTGAAATAGGTAAACCCCTAGGATTTAACACTAGCTGCAGGCTAATCTGTCCTGCAATTAGAACAAGTTTTAAGTCTAACGATAAGGGAATTAATTCAAAAGCAACTTTCCCATTAGTTCGCCATTGTCTAACAGATAGGAAATCACTTCAGCTTCAAGTGTTCAACTTTGTTATGAAGAATAACTACTTTTTGTTTCATCAAACCTCATAAAGGTTGTTGTGAGGACCATAGGGAGAGGCCCAAAGCCTTTATAAATCCCTTCTACTAGCACTTTCCTCCTCAAATACAGTATAGGCAAGGTAGGGACAAATAATGTCTTGGGATCTCATAAAAGTTCACTTCTACTCTCAGTTTTTAAACCAAACCAACTAATTTCTACAGCTTGAAAATAAATTTAGATCTTAATTTAGGGGAAAGATGATCATGTTTTTTCTCAATTAAACGAATTTATAATTATAAAGGGCTTAGAATGGTGTGGGACAATGGCAAGCGCTGTATAAGTGTAAAAATTAAAAAAGGATGTATATCTTCATGCAGAATTCTTGTTTTATTCAAAAGAAAACTAATAAGTGAATTATAAATAAAACTTAATGGGAGGCCAGGATGAATCAGAAAGAGGCAATGATAATGAATAATTGGGCCGGGCACAGTGGGTCACACCTGTAATCCCAGCACTTTGGGAGATGGAGGCGAGAGGATTGCCTGAGCCCACAAGTTCAAAACCAGACTGGGTAACATGGAGAGACCTTGTCTCTACAATAAATTTAAAAGTTAGTGAGGCATGGTAATGTGTGCCTGTAGTTTCCAGCTACTTGGAAGACTGAGGCAGAAGGGTCATCTGAGCCCAGCAGGTCAAGGCTGTGGTGGCCATGAGCGTGCCATTGCACTCCAGCCTGGGCAACCAAGTGAGACTCTGATTTAAAAAAAAAAAGAAAAAAGAGAGAGAGAGAATGAATAATTGGAATTGAAATACTGCCAAAGGTCCTGGTCAGCACAATGGCTTTTGATACCAGTATGGTCAGTGAGTCCATTGGTTTCTTGTAGTTTCTAGCACTGAGTCTCTTAAAATTCCTCATCACATCCAATAGATGACCCTTCCAAACATCCTCCTCCTCCTGGATAGCTGCAAAACTCATTGAATCTGCTCTCATCTTTTAACTCATTGCCTTCTTTTGCAAGGAAGAGATTAACTCTGAGGCTGTCAGATGCCACTTTCTAATGCTTCCTTGAACTCTTGCCTCACTGATACTTGTTGCTCTTTGGTTTTTGTTTGTTTTTTGAGTCAGAGTCTCACTCTGTCGCCCAGACTGAAGTGCAATGGCACGCTCATGGCTCATCGACCTGCAGGGCTCAGGCGATCCTTCTGCCTCAGCCTTCCAAGTAGCTGGAACTACAGGCATGCATCACCACACCCAGCTAGTATTTTGATTTATTGTAGAGATGAGGTCTTGCCAAGTTACCGGGGCTTGTCTCGAACCCATGGGTTCAGCAGTCCTCTAACCTTGGCCTCCCAAAGTGTTGGGATTCTAGGCATGAGCCACCACGCCCAGCCTCTTGTTGCTCTTAAATCTTCAGTTTCTCATAAAGATTTTCTTCTTTTCAGCTTAAAGTTACTCATAATTCACCCTCATCTTCAAAAAAAAAAGCCAACTAAACCAAATATTTTTAAAGTCCTTCCTTGCCTGACCTTCAAATCACTTTTTTCATACTTTCCTTTACCCTCAGGTTACAAAATAGGAATTTGTCTGCCTACCTTGTGCTTTGTTATCCATCCCAAACCCTGATCATTACAATATCTGAAATTGCATTTCACAACTTTTTATTCTTTTATTTCTATGACCTTGTGTAATTTATTGAAACTAATTCATAATGTTCCAATTCATTTAACCTCAGCATAATGAAATTATTATTTAGATGCACTAAATTCATTGATTCATTTAAAGTAACTAAGGGTTTGTTTTTGTCTAAGAAGGAATGTGTGAATCATACTGAGAATAAAAGAGACAGCTCCTATAGATTATAAACAATAAATAAATAATGGGGGGTGGGATTTGGAGCTATCGATGAAACCAGATTGTCCATCAGTTGATGCTTGTTGAACTGGGTGAGGGTAAATGGGGGTTCATTATAACATTCCCTGTGTTTGTCTGAATTATTCCATAATAACGTTATTTTTTTTTAATCTCAGGAAGTAAATTCTGCATTTTGATACAATAAGTTAAGATGAGGACAAAGATAAGTCATTTGATGTAAGAGCAATGCAATGGTAGGATAGACAGATGGAATTGCAAATTTAAATTAGTCATCTATTACTTCTTTTTACTCCACTAAATGCCACCTGTATGTCAGGCCTTAGGAAAAAAAAAAAAAGACATTACCAGGCACAGCCTACTTGCTACTTGTCTGTGGGAGAGGGAAAGGTTTAAACACAACTCCCCACTCCCCCACCCCCGATAGAAGAGGAAGAACATTCTGATTCTGTGGCAGTTGACAGTGAGCACGAAGGGGCAGTTTGGGGCAAAAAAGGATCTAACAGAAAACAAGCAGAGTGAGATTTCTGTCTTAGTCAAAGTAAAGTAGTCTTCACAGTAAAGAAAAGGCAAGGGTTGGGTTTTAAACAAGTGTGTGGGATATAGGAACAAGTTCATATTTTCTCCATCTCTAAGTAATTTTGAGAGAGAAAAGCAAAGAAGTAGTAAACCATAGAAGAATTAAAAAGGGGGCTTATTTAGAAATGTTGCCTTTGCTGTATCTTTGATGTTTAATGGTATTTATGAAAATAGCACTGTTAAGCAAGGTTTGGTACGGTGGGGTTTGTCCTAACTACAGGAATAATTGTGCCTTGAGAAATGTTTATTGAAAAGGAAAATGAAAGTAAACTAGAAGAGGTAGAATTAATGCTCAGGATTTTTCTGAACCCCAGTTCTGAACCATGTCTGGAAGGTGCCAGCTGAAGTGTCTTTAAAAATTAGGTCTCGATATCAAGTTCCTTGTTGCTGTTGAGATTGTGCCTGTTCTTAATAGGTCTGTTTTATCAAGGACTGAATGTTATTTGTTATTTTTATTTGCTTACTTTAAAAGTTTTTTAGCTCTTTATCCTAATTGCCAACTTTTGAATCTGTCATCAGTTTTGTCTATCTTCAAATAGTTTCCTTTTCCTTTTTTTCCCTTGAGTTGCCAGTGGCATCCACAGCTTTTTGCCAGAAAAAAACTGATTCAGGCAGCAGTCATGAAATTATAATATAGCTACATTTTTCTTTACTTCTGGGAACTCTTGCATTTGTCCCTAATGAGATTAGAGAATTAGAATTTGGGAAGGAGGGAAAAAAAGGAAATTCTTTTTTTAAGACTTTGGAGCAAACACAAAGCTATTTTTCTAGCACACAAATGGTACTATGACATTTACATAGCCTCATAAGTGACCCTTGCTGGGGGTAGGGTCACAGAGTGCATGTTTTGAGTCTCCATGGGGCAGTCACTCTTGTTTAGTGTCTGAAGTCAGCTTCCATTTATTTCAGCAATGCCTTTGGTCTTCCTTTTTTTTGGGGCGGGGGATCTTGCTTCTTTTCCGTGTCAGTTATTCTGTCATTTCTTCCACCATCAATAAATCCAAGGGAGGTCAGCCTTTAAAAAAAGAAAAATGTCACCTAAGTTTTCACTTGGTAGTATGAGAAAAGAAGATAGAATGTTTTAATTATTAGGAGAGATTCTGTTGACCTGTTACGAGTTTCATGTAGAAATTCCTATAGGTTTCTCTTTTTATATCATGAAACAAATTAATGCTAGCCAATTGTAGTTGTTCTTTGAACCTCAGGACTTTTGGCAATATGTCGGCAATATTCAAACAAATATATTATTAAGAACTTTATAATTCACCTAAAAAGTAAGGTCTAACTGAAATTGGCATTTAGGGAGCTATGTTATTTTAGTCTTTCGGGATATTGCCCCCTTTTGAGTATGTACTAAAAGACAGCATTTGGCAAACATTATTGACCGTGTATCCTATGCAAAGTAGTGTTTTAGCCCATTTGTGATAAGTACATTAGGTACTTAGAGTGGCTTTCCATTAGCTAAGAAGTAGCTTGCTATAGCTTCTGACTTAGGGAGTATTTTCTCAAGAAAGAACCATGGTAAGAAATGCGTCAGAAAAGATCATGGATCCAGCTAAAAATCACAGCAAAGTTACATCCCTGCTTGGAATTACAACAGTGGTAATAATACCATGATGGAGCACTAAAATTCAAGACAAATCTACACAAAACATGTACCTAATTTAAAAACACCTGATGAGGCTAAAGGTTTGAAGCTGCCAAATGACTTATTAACTTGTTTCCTCAGTCATGCAGCAACTAGGAAGGACGTTAATGTTTATTTTAAGGGATTATAGCAAGGAGGAATGGAAATTTTGTAGGAAGGAAAACAAACTAAATTACTTTCCAAATGAAAAAATTAGCTGGCATGGTGGTATTGGCCTGTAGTCCCAGCTGTTTGGGAGGCTAAGGCAGGAGGATTCCCCTGAGCCCAGGAGGTTGAAGCTGAAGTGGGCTGTAATTGTGCCACTGCCCTCCAACCTAGGTGACAGAATGAGACCCCAACTCTAAATAAATAAATATTGCTTTGTAAAGAAAAATACTAGTGTGGTTGAAAATAGAATCCAAGGAACATGTCAATTAAACATTTGATAAAATCTACATTCTTAAGCAAGCTAGAAAAGAAGACCAAGATAAAAGAAACTGTGAGGGTGGTCATTCCTTTCCATTAGAGTTTTAAACAATTGAGCTCCAGTTTTATGTAAGGCACCTTTAAGTATGGATTTATCACATTAGTGAAATAAGAAATTTGACTTAGTAGTGCAAGAAAGCCATATAGTTAATTATTCATTATGTGTTTTTATTTGGCCTTGGAATTTTCTTTTTTTTTTTTTTTTTTTTTTTTACTTATCTCTCTAGGGCTTTATTTGATAGTCTGGGAACTTATTTCAAACACTGTGAAGATCTGACACAGGAAGTACTGGGAAGCAGTCCAGTGTGTTTATCCTGACCCCTGTTCAACTTCTTCCTGCAGCCCACTCCATGCTGGAAATAGACAACTCTTCTCTGAGGCTGAGTCTAACCAGATTATGCAGAACTTTCTTCTCTCCAACATTGCCTGGAGCTGGGGTAGCTGTTAAGCCCTTGGGTTTTTTCTAAAGACTTGAAAAACTACACAAAAAGAATAAATAGATGGTTGATTAGTCACACAATTTTTTTTTTTTTTTTTAGGAAGTAGAATAATGCCATTAAATTTCAAATAAAGTTTGAAGGAAATTCAGATAAATTAGAATTTATTAAGTGAGAATATAGCTGTAATTATGTTAATCATGTTTTCTATGAAATTAGTACATCTGATTTTTATTTTAATGAGAAAGCACTTTGAAATTTTAAAACACAGACTTTTGAATAACTTTGAAACTAGAATCCTGCTAGATATATTCCTTTGAATGTTTAACAGTAGGATGGTTTTATTTGTCTTTTTTTTTTTCTTTGAATACCAATTCTGTTGTAGCTTTATGCAATAATTGCAAGTGAGTTTTGATAAATCATTTTAAAACCACTAAGGGTCTTGCTATTTAAGCGAACTCCTATGAGTCATTTTGTTAACATAACTTCCTGATTTTGTTTTGTCTCATTTGCAATCTGAATTATTATATTTCAGGTGTTTTGTTTTTTAAGCAATAGGTACCCACAGGTCTGCAGGCTCACATGCCCGCAGGCTCATGTATTATAAAATCTATTTATAAACACATTTAAACAGTTATTGAGTCTTGTTTTTTATTCTCCAGCTATAAAATAATTTTTAAGTTTCCCTCTTCTATCTTAATTTCACTGTCATCATGCACAATTGCCTCAGTTAAGGGCTGGGACAAGTCTTAACAGAGGACTATTACACCAGTATGTTTAGTCATTTTGTTAACATTTAAAACCTTGGACCGGGAGCAGTGGTTCACTCTGTAATCCCAGCACTTTGGGTGGCGGAGGCAAGAGGATCATCTGAGCCCAGGGGTTTGAGACCAGCCTGGGCAACTTGGCGAGACCTCATCTCTACAATAAATCAAAAAATTAGCCAGATGTGGTGGCGTGTGCCTGTAGTTCTCAGCTACTTGAAAGGCTGAGGCAGAAGGATCTCCTGAGCCAAGCAGGTCAAGGCTGTGGATCGCTGTGATTGTGCTACTGCACTCCAGCCTGGGCAACAGAGTGAGACTCTGACTCAAAAAAAAAACAAAAACAAAACCTTCGACTGTTGGGATGCTTAATACTCAAAAACTGGATTTCCTGAACATTCATGTAATATTATTAGTGTATATTTTGGTTTTAATAATTTAATAAATTATTTCTGGTTTGTTTGTTTGTTTTCCCTGCTCTAGTTGAATGGATTGCAGCAGTTACCATTGCTGCTGGGACAGCTGCAATTGGTTATTTAGCTTACAAAAGATTTTATGTTAAAGATCATCGCAATAAAGCAATGGTAAACCTTCACATCCAGAAAGACAACCCCAAGATAGTACATGCATTTGACATGGAGGATTTAGGAGATAAAGCTGTGTACTGCCGTTGTTGGAGGTCCAAAAAGGTGAGGAAAACACTTTCTTCATACAATGCTGTTCTTAATGTAACATTTGTTTTTAAACTATTCTTTAAAAGTTGTCACCAGGTATTGTTACGCTTTTCCTTTTTATTCTTTGTTTTTTTAATGGATTGTTTTTCTTTGTTTTCCATATACTCTTAAGGAAATATTTACTAAAATATATCACCACTACACAGTAAAATTACATTGTACCTTATTGCGCCTGGGCAAATTTAACTATATTCTTGGCCAAAGAAAAGAGAAAAATCCCTTTAACTTACTCTTAGGATTTCTTCCCCAAGTGCATCTTAGCTTCTACTATCCTAGGAAATGGAGTGTGCAACCTAATCAAACACACAAAAAAAAATGCATTCTTTTTGGGGGGAGTGGCTGGGTGTGGTGGCTCAAGCCTGTGATCCCAGCACTTTGGGAGGCTAAGATGAGAGGATTGCCTGAGCCCAGGAGTTTGAGACCAGCCCCAAGGCAGAAAAAGACCCTCCCTGTCCCCTTCAGCTGCTGCTGTTTAGCAGCTGGTACAGGTATTCTGGTAATTCTACTATGCTCTTTATTTACCCTGAATACATTATTTTTTCACTGTATTTCTGGTATGTATTTTTTACATCAAGAAAGTGATTGCTTATTGGTAGCATACAAATTCAGAGTCAGGGATGATGATGCCAGACAACCATAGATTTTCCATTCAGATGGCTGAAATAATGACGGCCTTTTCTTTCTGATGGTCCAATATATACAAACTTTGTTTCATGCACAAGATTATTAAAAAGATTGTATAAAATCACCTTGGAGCTATGTCTATAATGTGTACATGAAACATAAATGAAGTTTATGTTTAGGTTTGGGTCTCATTCTCAAGCTAGCTCATTATGTACATGAAAATATTTCAAAATTTAAGAACTCTGGAATCCACCGGGCGTGGTGGCTCAGCCTGTAATCTCGCGCCTTTGGGAGGCTGAGGTGAGTGAATTGCCTGAGCCCGCGGGTTCGAGACCTGCCTGGGCAACTTGGTGAGACCTCATCTCTACAATAAATCGAAAATCAGCCGGGCGTGGTACCACGCACCTGTAATTCCGGCTACTTGGAAGGCTGAGGCGGAAAGATCACCGGAGCCCAGTGGGTCGAGGCTGCGGTGGCCGGGAGCGGCCGCTGCACTCCAGTCTGAGCGACGGAGTGAAACTCCAACTCAAAAAAAAAAGAACTCTGGAATCCAAAATACTTCTATTCCCAAAATTTTAGATAAAGAATACTCAACCTGTACTAGAAAACATATTTCACTGACTCCTTTTTACCCCAATGATTGATGTTGCACAATCCAGTGATAAAGTGCTTTTAAATTATGCCATTTTATCTGAAAACTCCTTAATGGATATGTGTAATATAAACCAAAAATTAATAAGCCCAGTACAACAAATTGTATCTTAAGAGCACTATTTATTTGGAATGTTGGATTGTTAGTAAGTACTAGCAGGGTTGCTGGAAAATACTCTCTCAATAATATTCCATAGACTGGACCTGGCTTATCTCTTAAAAGGTGTGTGTGTCAGAGGCTCCATTATCTCATTGCTCATTGAAACATAGAAAGTTAGGCATCTAGGATAACCCTTTGGGACCCCTCCTGCTGCTGGAGCTATACTGTCTTCCTAATAAATTACTACTTTCTCAAAAAAAAAAAAAAGAAAGAAAAGAAAATTATGCATCTAGAAGTTGTGGAGTTTCTAAGTTTTAATAGTTCTTTAGTCAGTCATCTTAAATCATTTACTTTCTACTATACATACATGCATGAGAAAAATTAAATAGTAAAACATTGGATATCTTAGGTGTCTATAGTAGATGTAGCATAAGTGTTCTCAATAAATGGACTATAAAAGGGAGAGATGACACCATGGGCTAGAATTTTCTGAGAAAATTGGGAGTTAAATTGCTTCAAGAAAAATTGGTGGCATTTTAATAAACTGGAAGTACTGGGAACTCTTTCTCAAAATCTGCAAGAAAGAACTTGTGAGCAAAGGCAAGATAGGTGAAGAATCTAGTCTAGTCTTTGCACTGTCCTCCCCCTAGGAAGAAAATGAGGTGGTCTTGAGGGTCAGTGGGAAGAGTTTGTGTCTCCAAACATGGCTTGTTGACAGGGATTTCAGACATAGAGTTATGATACTTAGACCAGGGTATTAGCTGTAGAAATTGAAGAAGTGAGAGATAAGAAGAGGGTGGTACCATTAACAGAAATGAGGAATTCAAGGAGAAAAGCTGATTTTCCAGGACAATGGTGAGTAGTTCACTTTCAAAGAGTGAATTTGAGGTCATAGTCGAATGGTAATGTACAACAGAGGATGTGAAATGTGGGAGTAAAGCTGAGACATGAGGGTTAGAGATAGAGATCAGCAAACCCGATGAGTCAGGTATAGGAATGCAGCTGACTCTTGATACAGATAAAAATCAAGAGCTAAGTATGAAATTTTGGAGAATTTTCTGCATTTTGGAAAAAGGAACAGGAGCCATTTAAGAAGACAGAATGGGCCAGAAAGGTTAGAATAAAACTAAAAATATCTTGGCTTCAAAGTGGAAAAGGCAAAAGTTTCAAAAATTTAGTATTTGAACATTGGTCTGTGTGAAAACACCCAGGTGAATTGACTATTATAGTAATATGGTTAGATTAAGCAATTTCCCTTCTGGTGTTATTTCAACAGAATAATTGGAATCGAGGCTGTGTCAAAGTGGGTTAAAGTGTGGATTAACTAATAAAGAAATGACAAATTTGAGTATATGTCAGATTTTCAGTAGTGAGTGGAAAGAAAAGAAATAAGGTAGTTGCTTGCATGGACACTGAAGATTGACTTTGAGGTAAATAAAGGGTGTTTGCTTTGATTGGGTTTTCCCAGAGGTTAAGAATCCAATAAAGTAAATATGGACTTTGATGAACTAAGATCTCAAACATTTCAGGAAGAATCACAAATGGACATAAACTAGTGGTTTAAATGTTTATTAGAACTTTATAATTCAACAAAAACATTCCAGAATTATTCTTTCATTTTACAATTTAGTTTCTAGGTGGTTAGACTAGAGACTGCCATTTCCTGTAGGTAGACGTTAAGAGAGGGAATGCCAGAGCAGTCATTCTATTTTCAAGGGCTGGAGAGGGAGGAAGGACTTGTTTTTTATGCCATTTAGTGATCCTCTTTTCATTTAGGACTTACCAGTTCTGAATTTTCACTGAACTTTGGGCACTTATTATTCCTGCATGAACCAATTAAGAGTCTACTTTGAATATTATTCAAGTTATGAATGTTGTTATTCTTCATACACCTTTGGAAATTTCCTACAGGTACATTATTGCACAGGTGCCAAGCCAAGTCACACACTTAGATGCCAATTCATAGAAGACTTGTAATGCCTTTGATTAAATGGTTATAGTGAATTTATATTCAATAGTTTTTCCCTCCTATAAAAAAAACCTCTTGTATTTATAATATAACAATTTAAATGCCTTTTGACCAATGAAAAAAAGTTACATGATATAAACTTTAATTTCGATTCATCTTAAAGCACAATCGCTAGTAACCTGTTGTGTGTTTCTAACATTTTGAGCAGATTTCCCAAACCTAGTGAATCAGATCTCTTAGTAATGTATAGAAATTACTTTTTTAATGACCCAACATCTGCTCTCTTCTTCCCAGAATGGGCATTTCCTCTGCTGTTTCAGAAATTAGCCTATTTCATAGTACAGCCTTACCTCGTAATTCATGGATTGGTTCCAGACATCCTCAGGATATCAAAATTTAAGGATGCTCAAGTCTCTAATTTACAATGTTGTAGTTCTTGCATATAACCTATGCACATATTCCTGTATGCTTTGAATCATTTCTAGGTTACTTATAATACCTAATACAGTGTAAATTGTTATACTGTATTGTTTAGAGAATAATAAGAGAAAAAGTACGTGTTCAGTATAGACACAATTTTTTTTATCATTTATCTGTAGTTGGTTGAGTCTGGATGCAGAACCCACAGATATGGAGGGGATCAACTATTTCACAAAATGGTATTCATATTGGAAGTGAGAATAAAAGGAACCCGAAGACAGGAAATGATTAAAGGGACTACAGGGATAGGTACTCTTTGAGAGAGTGGTGTCTTGACAACAGGTGGAAGGAAATGGTCTTACATTCAAAACAAGGTGAAAAAACTTTGATGTAAGAGGGAAGATTATGGAACAAAGTCTGACTAGATTCCCATCCCCCTGCCTCAGATAGGGTACATTATTTGCTGAGTTGTATGATAGCCACCCAGGAGATAGTTTGAACAAGGACAGCAAAGAATTCAGCTAAGAAGAAAGAGGAGGCCGGGCTCAGTGGCTTGGCCTGTAATCCCAGCACTTTGGGAGCCCGGAGTGAGTGGATTGCCTGAGCCCATGGGTTCGAGGCCAGCCCGGGCAACTTGGCAAGACCTTGTTTCTACAATTAAAAAAAAAATTAGCCAGGCATGGTAGCATGTGCCTGTAGTTCTGGCTACTTGAAAGACTGAGACGGAAGGCTTGCTGGAGCCCAGCAAGTCGACACTGGGGTGGCCATGAGTGTACCACTGCACTCCAGTCTGGGCGATGGAGTAAGATTCCAACTCAAAAAAAAAAGAAGGAAGAAAGAGGAAAGCCTTGCCAGTTTACTTGAAGAGCTTAACTGAAATTGAAATGAAATGCAACTGGACATACTTACAGTCATTTTCTTTCATTTACAAGTTTGAGGTTGAGTTGTGATTTTGTATTGTTTTGATAGTGGACTTTTTTCTGGTTTGGGGTGGCAGGGTATGAAAGAGCTAGAACTCAATTCTCTATTCTATTAATGATTTAGAAGTGAGTTGTACAGAGTTCATTTCTTCGTAGTTCTGAATGTTGGTTGCATTCCTTGGCCAATCCATGTAAAGAGTCTTGTAAGAGATCTTAATTTCTGTTTATACATTTTCATATTCTAGCTACAGTTTTATGTTTTATTAAAATGAATGCGTAAAATGGTATAAAATACTATATTTTCTAAGTTAGTCTCAAAGATCTCATTACTTTGATTTTCTTTCTCAACCAAAGCAAGCATATTTTTCTGGACGGTTAATGGTAATGAGCCAGGCAACTTCCTTGGGACATAAAATAAAAATTCTCATTAAAAGCACAGAGTTCCTGAGCCCGCGGGTTCGAGACCTGCTGGGCAGCAAGACCTCATCTCTACAATAAATCAAAAAATCAGCTGGGCATGGTAGCGCTTGCCTGTAATTTCGGCTACTTGGAAGGCTGAGGCGGAAGGATTGCTGGAGCCCAGCAGGTCGAGGTTGTGGTGGCCAGGAGCGGCCACTGCACTCCAGTCTGGGTGACAGAGTGAGACTCCAACTCAAAAAAAAGCACGGAGTTTGGGCTGAGAACAGTGACTCACACCTATAATCCCAGCACTCTGGGAAGCCAAGGTGGGAGGATGGTTTGAGACCAAGAATTCAAGACAGCCTGGGCAATATAGCAAGACCCTATCTCTTTGTTAAAATTATTACGTTAATTTTTTTTAAGTACAAAGCTTTGAGAAGGAAGATAATTGTCTTTAAAAAAAAATTGTTTCCGGTGGAAGAGAAGTCAAAGGAGGAACATTTATTTATTTATTCTATCTTGAATCACCCTTAAAACAGATATAACTTGAAATCTGCTGCCATTAAAAAGAAATAAATCTTGTATTTTTTATCAAAACCCTGATGACATTGCTGGTTTTCTCTGTGAAGAAAAAGGATCTCTAGTATTTTTCTCTTAAACTTTTTATTCCAACCTCTTCTTCTCATCCTTTAAAGATGTTTGGGATTTGTAGTTTTCAAATTGAGTTAATAAGCATAAAAGGATATATTCAAAACATAAAGGAAATTCAGCCACTTGGATTTACAGACTTTTTCCAGGATTTGTTAATAAACAAGCACTTAGAACAAATTATCCGTACTACATCAACTGAATTAAATATATATACCCATTGTGGTTTTGGGGCTTGTTGTTGTTTTTGTTGTTGTTGTTGAGACAGGGTCTCACTGCCGCCCAGACTGGAGTGCATTGGCATAAACATAGCTCACCACAGCCTCGACCACCTAGGTTCAGGCGATCCTCCCACCTCAACTTCTCAAGTAACTGGGACTACAGGTACACTCCACCACACCTGGCTAACTTTTTTATTCTTCGTAGAGACAGAGTCTTGCTATGTTGCCTAGGCTGGTCTCGAGCTCCTGTACTCAAGCAATCCTCCCAGTACTTGGCCTCCCAAAGTACTGAGGTTACAGACATGAGCCACTACACACAGCCCCCATTGTGATTTTTTGTATTTTCACTTTTTGCTTGACAATTTTACAAATACCAAGATTTTCAGGGAGAGAAGGTTAATAAAATTATCTTGTTTTTGTGATATCATTTAATACAAAACTTCCTATACTTCCTACATTATGTTTGAAAGTATATATCTACCACATATTTTCTTTCTCCTATATAGAAAGGTCAAAAATAAAGGAAAGCACTTCCTGAAAAACACAAATATTGTTTTATAATTTACTGTTTGGATTTTAATGCCAGGTAGTTACCATTTGTTCACTTATACTATATTGAGACTCATGAATTAATTTAAATAACTATAGTCCATTAATATATATATAATGTATTCCTTAAAAATTGACAATCCTATCTTGAAATCGCCCATTTTAGCCCTTGGTTGAAAAAACTTTTTAATCTTTTTATTAACTTAAAATGAGAAATCCCTGATGAATAAATCTAATTACAAGTTTTGGGAGATGATTCTGATTTAAGGCAATTATTCCTGTGGTTAATTTAAGTGATGTAAAAAGTACCATCAAAAGATTAGTGTTTCTGGTTGGGTGCGGTGACTCACGCCTGTAATCCTAGCACTCTGGGAAACCAAGGCTGGAGGATCTCTTGAACCCGGAGTTTGAGACCAGCCTAGACAACATAGTAAGACACTGCCTCTACAAAAATCAAAAAATTAGCCAGGCATGGTATACATGCCAGTAGTCCTGGGTACTTGGAAGGCTGTGGTGGAAGGATTGTCTGAGCCCAGGAAGTAAAGGCTGTGATAAGCTGTTATTGTGCTACTGTACTCCAGTATGGTTGACAGAGACCCAAACTCTCAAAAAAAGTGTCTCTGAATAAAATTATTTTTATTACCTGGTTTCTTTTAAAGGCGTCAAAGTTTTATATACTTGAGGCACATGAAAACTTAATAACAAATAACCAGGATCTACTGCCTGTTACTTTTTAAAGAAATGTATGTTTTGTATTTGTGTGCTTTTAAGAACATGAAGAAACTGGCTAATTTTCATTTTTAGGCAGAATTATTAGAAAAATGTATTCTCATTAATATTTTATAAGGTAGTCTTTGTATATCTTTCTGTTCAGATTTCTCTTTCTAAATATAAAGAAAATAATTTGAGAAAATATGCTGGTTTTTAAAATATTTTAAACATAAGACTTAAAAAGAAATAAAAGTTAAACATGCCACTTCAATAAGTTATCTGAGGCTTTTTATTTAGAAATATTACATTTTTTAGGAATGTATTTTATAAGCTATGTGGATAAAACTATACAGTGAAGTGTTTTGTGTGTGCTGTTTATAAAAATGGAGTGTTTTACAATGTAAACTTTTATTCTTGCTGTAAAATCATCTGTGTTTGTTTATTAAACATATGTCACTTTGAAATGCTGTACTTTGCTGTGGGATACATTTTAGTTTGATTTTTATAGCCTTTTCCTCATTCATGCCAAGAAAAAAACTGAAAGCTTAGGTTTATGTTTTTGCTGCAAGTACTTTGTTTTAAGTATGAATATACTATGTACCACATCTTAGTGACCTAAAAAAAAAATAATGTAAGCTTTACATATATTACATCTACACTGCCATCTACTCCACGATAGAATTTATACCTGAAGTATAAGTTATGCTGATACCTTGAGTTCTGTAATTTTTAACTAATTTTATTCCTCTTATAATTATTTACAGATAGTAAAGTTAAAATGGGTTTCTTTATCATCAACCAAATATTATGTTAATCTTAGGATACAGACTTTTGGATATCAAAGTTTAAGATTATATACCATCATTGTCAAGTTTCACATATCTAAGATTATACTCCCATCACTGTGAGTAATGAGGTGATTGTTACTCTTAAAACCAAGACTTCACTGCAGCAATGTACCTTATTCTAAACAGTAAAACCCCAGATTCTACAGTGTGGATACATTTAGAACATCAAGATTAATAGATAGATGCTAGGTCTCATCCTGTGACATGAAATAGAAATAAATGATATAAATATAGAAGAAAAGAAACAAAAAATGTACTGATAATTGTACCTTCTAAGTGTAAAAGCCTAAGGAGTCATCAGAAACATTGAATTCCTAATTTTATCATTTAGCAGTAGAGAAGAATATACTTGCAAAAACCAATTATATTTATATAGCCAGAGTATTCAGGTATGAAGATACCTAATTATAATAACCATAGAAAATATAACAATCTAGCCGGGCTCGGTGGCTCAGCCTGTAATCCGACGCCTTTGGGAGGCTGAGGTGAGTGGATTGCCTGAGACCACGGGTTCGAGACCCGCCTGGGAAACTTGGTGAGACCTCATCTCTACAATAAATTAAAAATTAGCCGGGCATGGTAGCGCATGCCTGTAGTTCCAGCTACTTGGAAGGCTGAGGCAGAAGGATTGCTGGAGGCCAGCAGGTCAAGGCTGCGGTGGCCGGGAGCGGCCACTGCACTCCAGTCTGGGTGACAGAGTGAGACTCCAACTCAAAAAAAATTGAAAAAAAAAAAAAAAGAAAATATAACAATCTTATCAAAATATGCATGAGACCTGGGGATGAAAACTATAAGAGAAGTAAGACTTGGCAAAAAGAAAAAAAATTGTTAAGCTTATATGGAAGAATAAAGTGATTAGGAAAACTAGCCATATTATTATCCAGTCATCCCAGTGTGGTAGGCTAATCAACATAACATGGTACCTAAAAATAGGTGCTTGTACATATAGAATTTATTTTGATAAAGTTACTAACACAGGTGTGACAGTTTGGAAAACAACAGCATCTCAAACAGTATTTGCAAAGTACGCTCTATAGGAAACTCATAATGACTATCAAGGTTAAAAGTGTTCATAGTCCAGTCAGCTTGAGAAATTCTGGGTTAAATCTGTGTGTGTTTTGTTTGTTTGTTTTTTATAGTCAAAACTCTTTAAAATAACAATGTGTACTATGATTCAGAAGGGCTGTGTGATACGTTTTTGAACACAGATTGAAAGCAAATCAGAGTATCTTACAGGATTCAGCTTCTTTGGAATACACCCTGGGAAGCACTATGTTAGAAATTTGGAATTGTCCATTTAAGGATAATATGCAAGTTGATTTTAGATAAATGAACTTAAACTCTTATAAATAAATAGACATCCTACCTCCCCTGACAGTAGTCGATATCTGCCTGGGGAATGGGGGCACACCTCATCAACAAGGGTACCTGCACAATGAATATTTGTATACCTTACCCTGAATTGTACCCCACAATTTTAAAATTAAAAATAATCATAATTAAAAAATAAATAGACATAGACATCATTCATTAGAAAGGACTGTAACTAGTACATAAACATAAAAAAGATTTTCAACACTCATAATCAAATGTCACAATGAAATTCAATTAGTGATCTGTGCATTGCCCACAAGTTTATATCTTAGTATATATACTTCACATATGGTCTTTACAAAAGCATATATAAGATAACCAAGAAAAAGCTTTATGCTATATTAGAATTAAGCATCATCTTGCACTCTGCCAAGCATAATACTTATTTGGGGATTAAACATTTCACATTCTCTCTTTCTCTTCTAGTTCCCATTCTGTGATGGGGCTCACACGAAACATAACGAAGAGACTGGAGATAACGTGGGACCTCTGATCATCAAGAAAAAAGAAACTTAAATGGACAGTGTTGATGCTGCAAACCAACTTGTCATGATGTTACCTGATTGTTAATTAGAATGACTACCACTTCTGTTTAATTCATCTCCCTTGGGTTATAGATGTGGTATATTGCAAACTTCAGCCTTCATGTTCATGGCATTTGCCTTACTTGTTGAAACATTGTGGTGCCCATTTGTTTAAAGAAAAAAAAAAGTAAAAGTAAAAACCAACCTCATGACCGGTGGGTTATTTTGGTCTTGTAAGGATCCGTTTCTTTATATTTAAAATATTGACATTAGAATGTAGTTGTATCTTAAAGTCAACATATTAAATTATTCTCAAAAATCATGTATTTGCAGGGTGTACTTGTAAGTCTCAAAACCTAACACCTTGTTGTATTAACCTGGAAAGTAAATAGGGTGTGATCAATGTCTTAATACAATCTAGGAAAAACCTGTTATGACTTTGATTTTCTTGACATTAGTAGTGACACAAAATATGGCATCTGTGTTTTCACAGTTTTCAAAGTGAACTGTGAATGTTACTCCGCCTTATTATAAGTCAGCCAGGTCAATAACAAAGGGATGGTAACTTCTTTGTATTCATCTTCATGGATATTTAATTGATCCATTAAAGGAGCCAATAATGGAAATTTAGATCAAAATGATATTAGATTTAAAGTAGTCACAAAAAACGTCCTCAAATGCAGTGTTCCAAAATTCTAGCCCAAGGAGTGACAAGCACTTGAATTGAAGACTTTGAAGGAATTGGAGCACATAGTCAAGTCTTTTGATCACAAAGCCACATATCCATGACAGAAATAGTAGTCACAAGGTTAGATCAAAGGCATGGGAAGATTTTTTTCCCACCCACTCTTGCTAATCAAGCACATGGCTTTTAAATTGTATGATCTTTTTCTTAAAAGCAAAAATTTGAAGACAAGTGTTTGTTTATGTAATACTCTTCAGAGCCTCAGACCAGAAACATTCATTACTGATTCAGGAAAAAAAGAAAATAGGATAACTGGAAAGAGTTAGGACCAATAAGAGAAGATAGGAATGTTTAAAATATATTTTTAAGGAGGAATTAGATTTTTGGTTTTTATAGGTTAAAAGGAAAAATTAATGGCAAAATGTGTAATACAGGCAAGCGTAATTTGAAAGCGATCAAAGAAGCCGGACTCGGTGGCTCAGCCTGTAATCCCGTGCCTTGGGAGCCTGAGGTGAGTGGATTGCCTGAGCCCGCGGGTTCGAGACCCACCTGGGCAACTTGGAGAGACCTCATCTCTACAATAAATCAAAAAATTAGCTGGGCGTGGTAGCGCGCCTGTATTTCCAGCTACTTGGAAGGCTGAGGCGGAAGGGTCGCGGGAGCCCAGCAGGTGGAGGCTGCGGTGGCCGGGAGCAGCCACTGCACTCCAGTCTGGGCAACAGAGTGAGACTCCAACTCAAGAAAAAAAAAAGCGATCAAAGAACACATTCTATTTCTTTTAGTACACTTGAATTCTTCATAGTAGTCAATACATGTTTTCACTTGCTACATCAATTAAACCTGACAGCAACTTTCCTGTTTTATATATGATTATTGATATTTGTTAATGCACTTTGTATATTGCTGTAGATAAAAGTTGATACCAAAATTGGGTACACTGGCTTTAAGTAGCCCGTGTGACTGACTTGAACATGTTTTTAAGCCACATCTTCAGTATAAAATCTAAAACCCTGATTCTATCAAATTCTTAGGATAGATATCTTTCTTGCCCACCGCTCCCCTTTTTAAAATAAGTATGAATGGGTCTGCAAAAGAGAACACCATGCTTTTAAAGTTGTTTTTTAAAATCCATAAACTCCCAAAGTTTCTGATAAAGAGACATCCTTTTAACAGACTAAACTATATTCTTTAATTTGAATTCTAAATTATATTGTTAGTCATGTATTTTTATAGTGGGAATTGGAGCCACAGCCAGTCACTGTGTGTGGCGAAATTGTAAATGATGACCATACTATGAAATACAGGTCTTCTTGAGCACTTTGATAATCTGAAATAATTAGGTAAGTGTATTTACAGGGCATGTTGAAGTTTTATTACATGCTTTTGAACTACAATTCTTTTATGATATTAAAATTGTTTTTATTATTTAACCTAAAAAAGTGGATATGGTTAGGTTAATGTCAGGTGTTCTTACACAAAAATCATTGTGTGCAATTACTGTTCTGATTAAACACCTTAAAGCTTCTAATTGCCCCTTTGTTTAGTTGCAATATCAGGCAGGTAAAGCTCTCATCTTTTTGTTTCTCTGTATACTTTATGTTCTAGTAATTTCTGAAGCAAAAGCTTATGCTAGGTTGAGAAGTTTTTAATGTGAAGAATCTTATTCTGCAGTGATTCAAAGTGACATGTATCTGGTGATGCCTAATGGCATCTGTAGACCATACAATTGAGAATGAAACATTTTGGAAATTTAGAAGCTCACATCATTTATGACATAGATTATGTAATTATGATAATTTATGATTTGGAGTTATTTTCCTTGACAATAATAGCTACAACCATGGAAGTTTGAGGGTTGGTTTTGCTTTAAGATAAACATTGACTGGCTGGGCATGATGGCTCACCTGTAATCCCAATGTTTTGAGAGGCCGAGATAGGAGGCTTACATGAGCCCAGGTGTTTGAGACTAGCCGGGGCAACATGGCAAGACCTCTTCTCTACCAAAAAAAAAATTAGCCTGGCATGGTGGCACATGTCTGTAGTCCCAGCTACTTAAGAGGCTGAGAAGGGAGGATCACAAGCCCAGGAGTTTGAGGTTGCAGTGAACCATGATCATGCCACTGCCATCCAGTCTAGGTGACAAAGTGAGACCCTGACTCCAAAAAAAAAAAAAAAAACTTTGACTAAGGCTTCTAATTAGCCAACATACTGTATTCTGTGCTTGTGTGTCTGTGAGGGTGTGTTATTCTACTAACTGCCAGAAGCTGTGCATTCTTTCCCTGATTTTAATACTAGCTGGCCACTTACCTCTCAAAATGATTGGACTAAATGGCATTTTAGGCAATTGTTCCCAAATTCTAGACCAAGTCTAAATTTTCAGCTCTCCACAAAGGAAAAAAAATGCTAATAAAAGGTTATCTGCTCAAATTTAATTTTTCATTATAAGATTATTCCAACTTTTATGGTATTGAAATATCTTTTATGAAATTATTGATAGTAGTATTAGTTGCTTCAGATACCTCTATTTGGCAAAATAAAAAGTTGGCTGTCCAAATTAGTTTTTTTTTTTTTTTTTAACTACTCCATTAAGTCTAAAAGTCTGGGAACCATTAAGCCAAGGTCCTATATAAAGTCCTGAGACTTAGCCAGGTATGGTGGGTCATGCCTATAATCCCAGCAGTTTGGGAGGTAGAGGCAAGAAAATTATCTGAACCCAGGGATTCAAGATCAGCTTGGGCAACTTGGTGAGACCTCATCTCTACAATTAATCAAAAAATTATCTGGGTGTGATGGCACGTGCCTGCAGTTTCTGCTACTTGGAAGGCTGATGTGGAATGAGTGCCTGAGCCCAGCAGCTCATGGAGTGAGACCTCTGACTCATAAGTAAACAAGTTCTGAGATTTAATTATTTATCAAGGTATTTGAATAACTGCTTTATTTATTTTGATACCTAGTCTGTGTGAAATTCTTCATAAATGATTAAAACAATGTTGAGACTTCATGGAAAGTTCTTAATTTTTAAAAAAAGTTTTTTATTCCATTCAATTTACTACCATGGATCCAAACTAAGGGTATAGTCAATTTATTCTAATCTCTTTCCAACCCATGGCATTAAATGAGTAAATAAAATATACAACATGGAAATATGGAAATTTGCAAAGGATGATGGATTACAGGCATCAGCCCCAACTCCCGGCAAAAAATGCTATATATATATATATATTTTTTTTTTTTTTTTGCAGACTTATGAAGTGTTTCATAAACAAAGGAATTAGATATATTAACTGAAGATGGCAGGAATCACCCTAAGGGGGAAAGAAGATTTTCTAATTGGTAAATCAGTGAAGAAATAGAATTAAGATTATGAATTAGAAGTGTTGCCCCTTATATCTCTGGAAAACAAAAAAGGCAGTTCAACCGTGAACATGAGGGCAGAAAATGCCTCACCTAAAATGTTGCCTGCTAGGTACTGTGTAAACTAATATTCTTCACTTTTATATCTGTATCTCTGAAGATAGCCTATTTCTTTCTAGTTCTTCTAGCCTATCCCTTACAGATATCCAGAAGTCAATTTCTGTCAAGACTTCGTTCTTTAACTGTGGTATTATTTTCATTTATAAGTATACAAAGTCATATAGATTCCCAGCTTTGTTTTTCATTTAAAATAATTTTGACAATTGCCCATCTACCTCCATCCTCATTTTGTTGAGGTTTAAATGATTTTCCCACCGTTAACACCGTCTACCAACGTTTTCATAGGCAGTGGTTCATCTAACTCAGTATAATGGATAGACATGAGTGATTATGTCTTACCTGGCCCTATCATCCATTAAACTTAGCAAAATCGGTTAAACTTATTTCAAAATCTCCCAGCTATGAAAAGCAGAGTTCCACTTACATCATCCATCTCAACACAGTAATCTTTTTCTTTATCTTAGGCTTTAACAGTCTCTCTCTCCTCATTCTAGAAACTAAGGCTAAGGATTCACCTGAATACTATGATTTAAAGTTTATAATTTCTCAGCCTTCACCTTTCCAACACTGTCTGCTCAGGTTGTTGCAATAAATAACCCTGTGGCCTTCACATGAGCCTTTCCCATAGCTATGCGCCTTCGCATTCCTTCCAACGAAGAGCATTTTGATAATACTTAAAGCACCCTCTCCCCTTTCCTTGGAAAAACTAATTTCTTCAAATCCCCAGGGGATCTGCCTCTACCACAGAAGCTGAGATGATTGACTCTCCATCGTTGGTTCCTGTTTCCAGTCTGACCCTGGACGCCACCTAGTGTTGAGTCTCTGATAATGAAAATGTTAAACAAATTGCATAACTCAACAATGTCATCCAGTATACATACACCTGATATATATCCCTGATCCTGAATTACCACCCCCCCCAAAGTTCTATCTTGTATGCTTTTTTAGCATCTGGTTTGGAAAATCACTGATGTTTCAGGTCTCACTCCTCCCCACTCCCTGAGAACAAGGTCTCCCTATATCTTTCAGGCTGGTCTTGACCTCCTGGATTCCAACAGTCCTCTCGCCTCAGGCTCCCGAGTAGAGTAAACCACTGTGCCCAGCAAGAAGAGTCAGGGTTTTTTTTAATTCCTCAGAAAGGATAATTTTTCTAATTTTGATCTTGACCATATTCTCAGTACCCAGAACAGTTAAAGTACATAGCAGATGTTCAATACATACTTTTGTTTTAATTAATAAAGAGATTTGAATGAAATTTTGTTTTGTTT